ATATATATATATATATATATATATCATAGACCAACTTTTTCAGTACTATATCCAGTTTTTGACAATTATTTTTATACGTCATTTATTATTAATTGAATAATATTATAGTAAATCTGTCTTACATGTGTAGTATCGGGCTGTAGTATGTGTTGTCTACTTTTAACTTAAAAGGAAAGTTTATAGTTTCTTGGTTGAATAATAACATTACTGAAGCAAGTTTCTATCTTTAACTTTCCAAGAGGCTAATTAGGTCAAGTGAAGACTAAGCGTCTTCTTGTCTGACTCTCTTGCAGAAATAACAATTTAATTGGAAAACCCAGTTATACTTGTTAGCAAACCAGGCAACAGTTGCAAGTGAATTCATCCACGATCTTCACTGCCCATTAGCTGATTTCTTTAACAGAAACAAATCACTAATTTCTTATGTTAGAAAATCCAAAGTTTATTATCCTATTTAAGACAATGTTAGAGCCTGAGAGAGAAACTTTTCAGTAGATTTTAAGGGGATTTTGTCAGATTTTCCGAAGATTTTTGAAGGTATTTTTACACAGTTCTGGAGCAGTTTTTACCAGATTTTAAGCAGCATTTGCCTTAGAATTTTTCTTATAATTTTTTGGAGATTCCCACATTAAGGTTTGCCAATTTTACTTGTGGTTTATTGTTACTACGTTTCCATGGGTTACTTAATGAGATTTCAGTTACATAAGTAATAACTTATAAAGTTCTAGCCTTCCTGTGTGCTAACGATGTCAATGTATTATTTTTGTATAGTTTTACTTTTTGAGACTGTTGCAAGCTCTTTAGTTACTTTAGAGCTAACTTCTACTTTTATTTGTATGGACAGGTGGATTCATCCATAAGTTTAGTTTACTGAGTGAGAGTGTAAGTTTGCTTGTGAGCGAACATTATTTTGTTTCTCTTTTATATTAGAGTTAGCGCTATAAATTCACATTAACTTGGGAACATTCTCTCTTAGGATAGACTCAATTGTACGCAATGCTAGGTTACAGAGGGAAGAAGATGCACTAGCACGGGCTTTTTTAAATAAAGTATCTGATGTTCTGGCTTGCCACACTATTCTTTTTTTACACCTACATGATCATTTGTCCTATTATAATTTGTAGTATTACCTAGAATTGTGTGATAGGGTGTTGTTGTTCATCATATTGTGGTGACTTTCATGAAACAATTGTATTATGTATGAAATCTATGTCCTATCTCATTCTTTGTCGCTCAACTGTTACACAAATATATCAGAATATGTTTGGGTCATTTACACAACCTCTTGTTGCCATAGCGACGAATAAATAATATTGAAAAGAAAACATAATGTCAAAGTGCATGCACAAACAAATACTACCCAGAAATGACACGTCATGCGGCCTGTTAACCGTTTATATACTAGCGGTGTGTTTCTCATGGGTTCTATAACGATCGATAGAACTCTCACATCGCGACTGGTCTAGAGAAATCTATAGCCAGTGGTTGTCAACATTTTAAGCATAACAAAATGTGACCCGATTTCAATGAAAATGATTCACTTGTGTAAAAGTACATATGACGTTTTGTGAAAATTCTGTACGTGATGGAGAAAAATGGATATCTTATTCGAATTCAGCGTACAGTAATTACTGTAGAACATTCAAAACTTTCAAGACAATAAAACCATCGCAGGCCTGTGTTATTTTTTGTCGACGAAATCGTTGCTGTTGGGTTAAAGTTTGATATGTATTAATTTTACATTACGAATTCTTCACAATATTATGATAATACTGTTAATCATTACAATATCAACAAAACGTACAATTGTTTCAAAAGATATATGGAAAGAATTTGCATAACCTTGAAGCAAAATATATTCTTACAACATTTCATTAAAATTCATTGAAATATTCAACTTCGTTGTTTTAACTTATTCAGTTTTGAGCCAAATTGTTTTTTAATTATTTTTTCCAACTTACACCTATCCACAGAAATTTGTCTATAGTTCTTCGTTCATTGAATTTGCGACCATGTGGAAGCGTTGTTTTGTATGTCTTACAAGATTAGTCTTTCAGTGAAAAAGTTAAGTTGTAGTTTGTGCATTTAAACTGAGTAAAATAATTGTTTTATAGTGAATGAAATTTACGCAGCAGAAGACAGAATATTCAATAAGATGGTAAGATGTGTTATATTATAAAATTTTATTATTAGTACTAGTATTATTAGGTATTATAAGTTCACATATCGCCATTCTTGTGTCCGTCATTAGGCTTAACAAAAATATTCCGAACACCGATGTATCAAGTCGGCTTTAGGCTATCAACTATAGTCATGTGTAAACGGTGAAAATTATATATTGTTTCAGTTATGTAGGGGATTTTTGCAGTTAAATGAGTCTTTACACTTATTGTGACTTTGTCTAACTATAATGTTTTATAGTAGACTTACAAGTCTCATGATTGAGATATTTGAGTCTGAACTGAGTTTTATTTAATAACATTGATAATGATAATAAAAAGGCTGATGGTACTGACATATTTTAATTATTAGTAAACCTTCTTGTCTTGCAAAAATTCTTGCAAAAAAGAGATTTAGGATGTCTATCCCAGCTTTACAAGTTAGTGTTTTGTGATGATTCCCTAAAGCACTGATTTAGTCTCACATTGATCTTGAAATAACATTTGAAAATAATTTATATCAGTACTGTACAATGGACATGAGTAAAATGTGTCAAAAAACATACATGAAATCACTTGTGGGAATAAAGTATGACGTTGGTTATAAATTGGAAATAAATAGCACCATTTTTAATTTTGTTTCTTTTTTGTTATAATGTAGCATACTCAGTACTTCTAACTGCTTCTTTTTACCAAAACTGAACCCTATATTCAATGTGAGACATCACTAGTGATTTGTATACATATATTTACATCTGACTACACTGCTTTGATGGCTTTAGTGATTTACTCGACAGTATACCAAGATCCTTTTTTTTAGTCATACTATTAAGTAAATTCCCATTTAAACATGATGTATAACTGAAATGCATTACCTTGCAGTTATCATAATTAAAGTTAATTTGCCAGGTATATATATCAGTGACTTTATCCTTCCAGTTTTTGAAGAACTTCAAGTGAAGGGGAATAATGAATTGCACTTTAACATTGTTATAAGTGTAAGCATTAATAATTATGCAGTATATTATTTAAAATGTACTGGTGCAGTCCTGCATAGACTAATTATGCAGTGTTAGCTAAATATGGATGTCTATCTGCACCTGTTTATTCATGCCATCATGTTCTCTGATAATCCAGTGGCTTTTGTGTGAGTTATAAAGAATATTCTCTGCATATTATATTTTAATACAAGTAAGGAATACATATATATGTAAATATTTCCAGTTATTTACTTGTCTTTGTTATCTCTCTGGTGTAGATACTGGGCAAAAAATGTTTTTAATCTTAAAATGAAAATTACTTGGCATGTTGGATAGGCAACATGTAAAAAGAAAAGGAAGACATAAAAAAAACATTGCTTTACAAACCTTAAGACTTAATAAAAAAAATTGATATTTTGCATATGAAAGCATTGTAATGTTTACTGATAATCTACCAAATTTCATTAACAAATGCTTACTAATTTAAAAGTCGTAGCATGGAATCTATAACAAGCACAAAATGGTTACAATGATGTGGCACACATTCACTCATGTTACCGTATCCAATAATATAAAACTGACCTTTAGTCTTTACAAAATGACCTGTCTTGGCTGTGTTTTAGTAGACTGGTATTTTGTAAAATAGTCACATTTCAATTATTATACATTATATATGTATATAGATTATTGCTATTTAGAAATAAGTTCTTAAAATTATTTTTCTTAAAAAATAGAACAGTAAATAAAGAAGTGTTATGACAGTGGAAGTCATGCGATGCTAGGAGCATGCTCGCTGGAGTTTCTCGAAGGATCATGAATTATCGAGAAACCCCGCAAATGTCCGACTGTTGCTAGACACCCTCTTTTTTAGTATACAAGCCTGGCGAGAAAAACCAGCAGAATCGAAGAGATAGATAATTGAGTCAAGCGAACAGTAGGCACTGTAAGTAAAGTGTGTGAATAACTGTGATTTATAGTGT